GATTCTAACGCACCAGTCGACAAATAGATAGCGCCACCAGGGGGCGCTAGATTCAAAAAGTCCTGTTTACTTTGGAACGCACCTTGTATATGTGGTTTGCAGAGGAGAGTTGCACCAAAAAGGTAAAACAGTAAGTTCAGAGCGTTGATCTATTACGATGAAACTTAAGCCTATGTACACTTTAAATTAATTTTAAAACAGCCACAATACTGAAAATCGGCCACACTTTCTTTACAGGGTTCAAAAAGGTTTTTCAAAAAATGGTCAACAACAATTTTTGCATTTAAAATATTCCCTTTTGTTGCAAGTTGTATAATGTAAATATCGATATATGGTAAATCAGCTAAGACAATGGCTACGCTTTCTGCCTACAGAGATCACCTTTCTGTTGATCTCTAAAGATCAGACTAAACGAAACTTTCTGAGTCCATGTATAAGCAAAATGTGCGGACAATAGATAAATATTTCTAGTGATTTTTGCTCAAATTTCGTTTACATTGTAAGCATTAAAGGAACACTTTTCCTTTTCATCGCAGTATTCCCACTAAGAATTTAATGCGCTTTTTAAGCACTACAGCATGCTTTTTGGCTTAATGTTTCAAAACAATGGCTGGGATGCGCCATTTTGAATGCGCCAAAAAGCATTTGCCGTAATTTGCAACCAATGCATAATTAAGTTATTATGACAACAACAACAACAACAACCCCGACAAGTGAAAGCTAACAAAGTTATCTAAGCATCGTGCGCCGGCATAAAATCGTAACTACAACGGAAGCGCCGACAACACAGACGCTCAAACGCTAAAGCGCTTAGACCCACAGATCTCAGTCACCCAGACTTGAGTCGTGCGGCTGGCTTGCTCATTTAGCCAGGCAAGGAAAGGCAAGGCAAGGCAAGCGTTCGCCCAACGGCCAACCAGTCTCAAGGTCTAGCCTGTCTGGCCAACCACCAATGCAGGGTGCGGTGCGTAAACCGAAAACCAACTGCTGCCCCCAAACTCCCAGCGGCGACAGAGACGGCAGCGCCGACTGCCGTTGAACCCTGCGAAAGTTGTGGAATTATATTTCCTATGGGCGGCATTCGAGGCCCGCCTCTCGCACACACAACTGCCGGCAATTGCTCTCAGACGGTATAATTTGTAATCATTCTGAGTGCAGCGGCCGTGCCAGTCGAGGCGGCGGAGGCTGTTGCCGGGGGTTGCCCGGTCGTCTGGTCCTTTGGTTCTCTGGTCCTCTGGTCCTCTGGCTAGCAAGTGGTTGTTGACTGCGTGACGCTTAGCAAGGTCTTAGCTGTTATTACGCTCATGTGTCACTCTTGCAGTGCTGCAGACCATATGCGTCTGTATGTGAATGAGAGTGTGTGAGTGCGGTGTGTTTGTGTGTTTTGTGTGTGTGTGTGTGTGTAGCAGCCTGCACTGCTCATATTTTATTCAGCATCTGTTGCTATAGAGACTTCCAACTCGTGCCATCTCGCTTGCACGTACGCCGCTTTTTTCGTGTCTGCAGACATTTTGCCAAGTTAATCTCCGGTTTGTTTTCCTGATAATGGGTTTGTCAACGTAGCTTTCCCTCTGTGTGCGTGTCTGTAGGTCTATATGCATATCTGTATATTAATATATGTATGTATGCGCACTCTTTTTATTTCTGCTTGCGTTTCAGCTCCGTCTGTCTGCCAATGCGACTGCGATTCGTTTTTCATATTTTCCCTTCACAAATTGGTGTTGGTGTTGCTACAGACACGCCCACAAATTTAAGCTTGTGCACGCCCCCAAATTAATCAAGCTGCTGTCGTAATTTTGCCAACTGCTTAACTGGCTGTTGCGTCGCTCAATTTTCCTACTCTGCCTACATCTGAGGACGTGATGTCTATAATACGAGTAGACTGATTGGCTTTAAAGCATCTCCAGTAGTGCTATCCAGTATTTACTTCGTACACTCTGTACCCAAAGGAAAAATCGGTATATTATATATGTGCTCATACATCTTTAATGAATATGATATAATGATATAGGCATGCCCGCCTGAGTCCAGTCTGTCTATCTGAATGCAAGGATGTCAAAAAGTATTCGAATTGCAGAGCAAAAGAATCGTGGATACGAAGGGAACTAGCTATATTACAAATAAATATGGCAATGGCACATATAATGTTTGTCGACTACTAACTAGATACTAAGTATAACAACAAGCAGACAGTAATTGTCACGATATCCTAATGAATGTTAAGATAGAAGTTTGCTAACAAACTTGGATTTATAATAACTTTTGAATACATTGCTAAGCCCTGTTTAAATCATATGTTATTGCTGAATAGCACATTCATTAAAATTTCATTATCTGTCTTCTGTTTCCGGAAAATATGCGATTGGTGTCCATTTTAAATAGATTCTCAAGACAGCCCGGAAAATGTTTAATTAGATAGTTTTGTTTTAGTCGAATTCTTTTGGTATCATTAGTTTTTCACCTTGGTCTACAAACAATAGTTGTTTACTCCTTTTAGACTGCCTTCCCAGAAAGACTTAAATTTTCTGTTTCTTGTAGAACAAAAAGTAACTATGGAGACTATATTTGTCTCGTCTAGATGCACAACTGTCTACGCTTTGTATATGTTTGAAAAATCTATAAAATATATTTTAAAAATCTCTATAAAAACTGTTTTCCATAATGTTCCATGTTTGGTTATGAATAGTGGCATAACTGCCTTTCTTTATCAAGTGATTGCTTTTATTTGCTTGGCATCTAAGTACAGTTTTATATTTGTATCCCGTCATCAATTTCTAAAATGATTTAGCAGAGCACGAAATGGTTTTACTCGTAAAAAAAATTTAAAATGTAAAATGTACTGTTGATTTATTAAAGGAGACTGACTTATAGTTGGTGGAATGAACTCTATCTCTTTCGTAGCTCTCATGGCCTGTTGTACAAAATCCTAGGCCAAGTAGTTGTTGCTACAATAATCTAGCTATTGAATTGCTTAATGCTGGACAAGCTCTCCACGCTCCTGATTTTGACAAGCTCAATTGAAAAGCACACATTACGGGCTTGGCTTCACTTGGCTTGGCTTAAATGGATTGGCGATTTTGCAGTGTGCACACAACGATAATAAAAAACTGTTAAATTAATTGCAGTTTTAAGCAGATTTCAACTTGTTAAGCAGTACACGCCGCTCGACGCCTCATCCTCGATGGAAATACATATGGAGGAGATGGCCATACGATGGGCTAACAACAATGGGGGCGTCGTTAATGGCTTCAACAGCAGGTTACAAAACAAGCGGCAACTCAGTGCAGGCAGCAAAAGAGGAAGCATTTAAAGCTGCTTGGCCACGTCATCGAGTGAGGGCCAACAACGACGTTGACTTCAATTGCACGCATGCACACCCTTACAAGCCCACACACACGCACACAATGCACTTAAGATGATAATCATGTTTACGTGGCGTAAGTTAAATTGGTAACGTAATGGACTAACAGCAGGTGCAATGGGCGTGGCAAGAAGGAGCTGCTTCACCTGCTGCTCTACTTCTGCTTCTGTTCTTGATCATGCGTGCGCTGTCAGCGGCAATTTTGGGTTGCTCCTTCAGGTTCAAGTTTCTGGTGCTGTTCTGTTGCTGGCAAAAAACCATTTGTTTGCCCGAGCGCTTCACTCGTACGATGCGCTTCATTGGACAACTGAATATGCAAATTGAATTGAGCGTATTATCGAGAGCAGCAGCAGCAGCAACAGCAGCAGCGGCAGTAGAAAGTGATGGCAGTGGCAGGTAAGTGGCAGAGCTGCTGCGGCAGCTCCAGCCCATCAACATAATCGCCCAAGCCAAGGGCTTTGGCCGGATTTCGCTTGCGTGCGTCGGCAAGGCAGCAGCACAAATGGTGCACAAAATTAAAATTTTAATGGCCAGCAGCTGACGTTGGTCCATCAATGGCAAAACAAAAGCCCTTCTCGTCTAAAGCCCGAGGCTTTGCACATTGAAGGTGCATTTAAGGAAGGGCGCGAGCGTCGCCCAAAAAACGTTGCATGCTTTTAGGATGCACGAGCTAATTGAAAGAACCCTGCGAGAATGTTGAAAGAAAATTGAAGTTATAGTTTCAATTATGTCTTATATGTTAAATATACTTTTGTATTCCCAAAACATTGCAGATTTATAATGACACAAAATTTAACAAATTTAATTTCGAATGTATTTTGTAGGGAGACAGAATGTGGAAAAGAGCGGGCAGGAGATCGTTCAAAGTTTTTATTCTATTTATAATAACACTGATCAACAACTAAAAGGTAAAGGGTAAGGGTTGGCAACTGCTTACGTATATTAACTAAATAATTTCATATGCATTGAAAAAACTATTCTAATAACCCAAAGCATAAAATTATTTTAGAAATATTATTAACTTTGTTGCAGTTGTAGTGAGGTCTAATAGCCTTTCAGTCAAATTGATTTCCATAAAATTTCATATATCTGTATCAGGATAGACTCGTGTGATATGAAAAAATTTAAAACTTTTTTTTACGTTAAATGGTTGTCTAATGATAGACGTCTATAAATAAATTGCAATAAATATGTTTGGTGAGTAAAAAAACAAAAATTCTTCTACACAAACTGATTTCCTATTATTTTACTTATTTAAAAACATTTTTGAAAATTTATTTACTGAAATATTGAAGATAATTGTGTCTCTTTATTTACGTACATTACTAAATTAATTGTGGATCCAATTATTTGGATTCTCTTTGTTGTATACTATTATACATATGTACAAGTATGTAGAACCGGCTTGCAAATACTTGTTTAATTTTGTAGACCAGTGTAAGTAGGGGGACTGGGCTCTCGTCGCGTGAGTCTACTACTGACGCACGTAAACAAAACGTCCGCTAAGTGCCGTAAACTTGCATACATATGAGTATAGAGACGGACTGTCAGTCGACGCTGAGCGCTGCGCTTGAGCAGCCGCGAAAACGAATCGACGACAAAGAATATAAAACAAGGCCGGGCCGTTGTATACTATACTATAGTATTAAAAGAAACAAAAACTGTAATAATCAGCGCTATGTAAGACGTCAGTGTCAAATATTTAGAAAAGTGTTGCCAATGGATGGTCCACTATAAAAATATACTCGACGCCATGACATCACAAACGAGAGCAGTCCCGCCCCCTCCTATAGCGGCACCGACACCATCGCCCACAGTAATTAGTGCGGCCATGGAAAGGCGTCGACGTCTGCTGTGCACAGTCGAAAATTTGCGCGGTCGCGTGCGTCAAGTGCTAAAATGTGTTATTAATTTGCATATTGAGTTTTTGGTAATTGAACCAACAAGTTGAAATAATTATGTGTTTCAAAGCTCTGGTAAAATGATTTAACACCGCAATCGAGTGCAAAACAATTTAGGTCTCAAGAGTGAGGCGATAGAGATAAACAGAAATAGAGAAAGAGAGAGAGAGAGAGAGAGTCAGTAGACAGTCGGTCAACAATAATTGACATTTCCAGTTGTCGTTGAAAGTCCGCGCTCAAACACAGAAATATGACAAACGTTGCTCACTCGTCACATTCTCGCTGTGGGGACATCACCCATACGCCATGTGTATACGAGTATGTAGTTAAACCTTTTGGGCAATTGCATTGTTTGCTCTACACCACATATTATTTTGAACAATACATATTGGCGTCCCTAGCTAACAATGAATAAGTTTCTTTGTCTACGATTTTATAGTGATATAAACATGATTACAAAAAACTGTCAAAGTCAAGATACAAATTGTTTCTTGATCTCAGTCTTTTTAAAATCACTATCACTTTTAAAGGTGTGGAATAAATGAATGAATTCAACAAAACATCGAACATTTATCACTATAAACCAATGAAGAAGCTATATTTTTTTGCGTCTATGCTAGATACCCTTCACCGTGCCTTATAGCCTTATTCTTTCATGGTCATAGGCCGCAAACAAATGTGTCTATATCATCTAATTTATGTCTTTCTTTTAAATCTTAAATTTTTTTAAGATCTGTCGCAAGTAGACTTGGCTATTATTAAATTTTATCATAACTTTGAGATTTGTTAATTATGCTTCTGTCATAATGGTGCGACGTGGTTCGAACCGAGTGCCAACTCAGGAACAAACCCACGTTGTGGTATTGCTGGTATATTTAAAAAGCAAAACAGAGTGTAGAAGTAGGAATAGACAAGCAGGCGCTATGATTGACATCGCAATTCGGATGCGTCTCGTCATGCTTATCATATATGTATGTACATGGGGTCTACCATTCTTCTTTCTGTGTATTACAAACTTGGAAAAAATCATTCACTTGTTGCTTCCTCAACGAGAGCTCTTAACATCACGTCTGTTTACGTTTGTGGCACAAATTTTTACATTTTAATGCAATTATAGCCTTCTATTGAGGACATGCGTGCAAACAATCTATACAGCGGTGCAGTGGCTACTTCTTGGGCCACTAATTAGTGCAGTCGGGTGCGCTTTCATTTTGTACGCTATACTTATTTACATGGCTTAGCATGCGCGGTTCAGGGCATATTTCAGACTTGAACGGCTAATTGACCAGCCACTGTTCATATACTATACATTATGACGACAATAGCGACGTACGGGTACGTGTTTGAAATCTGAGCCTGCAGCGCCGTCAACGCTTGCTGAACATATCAACCTCAAACGGAAAGACAATGACTGAATAACTGACAGTCGCCTATCAATAACTGATACATCGCCTCTGTCGCAGCTTTGGCCATCCGACACCTGTCGCACAAATCGAGCAAAATAAGCTATTTTCAGTAAGCTATGCTAATGTGCGCTTAATCTATTTCCACCTTCGCACTACGTTTTACCCTGCAGTAAAAGGGAATATTGATTTTGGCAAGCTGTCAGGTAATGACACCAAACTATTTTCGATATTACGAATTTTTAGAATTTTGTTGATTTCTCTACTGATTTAAAAAATCAACTACTTCATAAAGAAATAACTTTTAATATTCGTATAGTATTATAGCGTTTCTGTTCGTTATTTTCTGTTTACTTTGGATGGATATGATCTTATTCTGAAGGACATTTTACTGAGCAAATAATAGTTTATTCAACAAACAAATAAACATCACAATCACAACATCACCATTTAATGTACAATATACATGTATATACCTAATAAGATTAAGAGGCGATTTCTGATACCTACCAAAAACTAATCGCTGATCCTTAAAGCGTTTTCTCACAAATTAATTTTTATATTTACTTTATTATGTTGCGAATCGGACTGCAGTTTTGGCCCTAGCACGACAGTTTTGATATTTCTTTATATGAGACCACTAAAACAGAATATTTTATGACTTAAATAATTTTTTAAATCATGCTTTTATGCGATAATGGTAGCGCTATGATTCGAACTGAATCATACTCAGGAAAAGATTTCACACTATGGGATTCCCTTTAGCTCGCTGACCTATGCCAGGCCCCTTTTCACACCTTTACTATTCTCACATTTGCATTTTTCAGGTTCTCGAGTCCAATGTCGCCGCATTGCTGGATGATGTGAGAGCTCTCAATGCGGACTGTATTGAAAGGGAGCGCCTGGACAGACTAATAGAGACATTACGTAACTACAATGGTCCCACAATATGCCATGAATGGCCATACCCCTTGATATTCAAGGGCACAATTGACGAAGCACATGTAGCACAAGTTCTCAATGCCGCGGAGCCGGTGGCGGGGGTCCTGCTCAGTGGATCGGAGCTGATGCTGCCAGAAGAACCAGCGTCATAATTACAAATGTATATGTATGTGTGTGAACAAATGTTTCTAGGTATAGTATCATAAAACTGCACTTTCTTGTCATGTCGTGTAGTCCTAACCCTCAATCCAAACCAAAAATATGTTTAAACCTCAAGACGTCTGGTGTGAGCCATGTGCAACCAAACAAATAGCTCCCCAGACAAATTTGCTGCGGTCGGGTGCCTTTGTCGCCATTGCCAAGGTATTAGCAGCGACCGCAGTTGCATTCGCAATCTTTGTGGTCACTTGCCGCTACGGACATTGATTTTGACATGCCGCCTCAATGGGTCTGCTCTGAATGTGAGTACTGCCTGCACATAATGACTGACAAAATGGCTGAAAGTGACAGAAGAGTAGGCCGCGGTTGCCACAAGTTACTCGCCACTCAACCAAGCAGGCCCAGTTAATCCTCAATAAGTGTACGATTGGGGTTATTTTTGACCCCCCTCCTTCAGGAAAATGTTACTAAATAATAATAAATAGTGCATATTCGCAAAACGCTTCCAACGAATACAAATACAAATTATTTAGAACCATTATGCTAAATGTAATTAAATATGTTTTTATGTTTTTAATTAACGATCAATTTTTAATGCAAGTAATAAATATCTCTGATGGTTTCTAAGTATTTTTATTTTAATAATAATACTAAGTAGATTGGCTTTGAACACAAGATGTACAAGAATGTTGGGCAATATTGCATGGGATCTCCTTCATCAGTAAGTTTTATTCTTGATATGTCTCATAACTGACACTCTGAGAAGATGTGTCAAAGATACATGCCATTTTCTTTTATACTAGTATGTACATATATAAAGAGATATAGGGGGAAAAATTGGTTATACGAAGAATCCAGTGTACTTGAGTTATGAAAAATAGTAAGCGCACCTATTACTGAGTGTTTATTATAAAAAAAAAAGCTTTTATTGTTGATGAAGATGCTTCTTCTAAGAGCAATTTTGATAACAAAATGTTCAATTTTACTTTATTGCGTAAAAAAAATACAAATAACACACAATAGAAGAAGACAAATCTACTGATAACATGAAGTTGATAAACAGAAAATTTTTGAATATTTACATATTTCATAGTAATACGTGTTTGTTGATATTTTACCTCCGACTTTAATACATACATACTTAAAAAAAATTTATTTTGAGTTCCTATTACACTTTTTACATACTAATGTGGATCAATTTTTTGGGAGGATAATTTTTCGATCGGCAAGCTTACCTTTTTTCCAATACACCCACACTCTTTGAATTTCTCAAAATATGTCAGGTTAATCAATTATATACATACATATGTATATGTATAAATTATAGAAACTGTAAAATTGAATAAACTGGTATTTTTAATTTGGAAGATGTATGTTTATTATTTAACGCAAACGGCTGACGAAAATGTTCATTAATTTAGCAAACACACAAACAAGTTTTTCGCTTTCTAAATTATTTAAATCATTTTCAGCTTATGGGCCAGATAATTAAAAAAGTAGTTAGAATAATTTGTTTTTCGTCTTCGAAGAAAATTGACTTCCGACTCTAAGCTCGGTGCCACAAATAGTCGTCAGAATAGCACGTAACATGTTCTCCAGCCGAAATAAAAAGGCTAACAGGATCACATGCAGACTTCCAAAAGGGCGTAAAGAGCAACAACAACCACAAATACCGATGCCAAAAGTGAAAACAATAAAAGCGCAAATATATTCTTCTTGTTAATGGTGCTGCCACTGCGATATTAATTATAAATAAAGCCAGAAACAGAAAAAAAACAAACAGCGACAACAATGCGCGCTTTATGTGTGTGCTGTAAATTATTCATAACGGTATTATCAGCTTGTCTGCGCACTGCCAGGCTGATTAAATTGCTGTATGGGGGGTGGAGGCCAAGGCGGCCAGCAAAAGCTAATGATGACACATGCACACTTGTGTGCACCATCATCGCAGAGTTGTTGTTGTTGTTGCTGTTGTGTGGGTGGGGTGGGGTGGGGAAGGGGAGTGGATGCTTCTGGGCGCGTAATAAGCGCGTTTTTCTGCTATGCGCGCAATTTATCAACGTGTCTCTCTGTCTGTCTCTCTGTCTGCCCGTCTGTCTGTCGGCTTTTGTAAACGCCTTTGTATGTATTTGTACGTCTGTGTGTGTGTGTGTGTGTTGCGGTCAGGGACAATTGCAGGCACTATGCAATTATTTAAAAGTAAACAACAACAACCACCGACAATCGGCCAGCAGCTAGCAACAACAATTGAGATAATGAGCACAAGCTCAAGAGCAACAACAAAAGCGAAAGTGTTGCGAATGAATGTTCGCAATCGCAGACTCATGTGTGAGCTACATAGCTCGCGATTGCTTAACGCTGACGTCGCCTCATCACAGCGACTGTTAAAAGTGGCCTATAAATAAAAGACCAGCCCATGCAAATTTCCGCAAAATTAATGGCCCACAATACCAATATCAGTAGCAACAACCACAGCCACAGCCACAAGAATATCGGAGCCATTCATCATCAATGCATAAAATGCATGACGAACGCGAGCTGCATTTTAAACGCTTTTGACTTTAAACTTGAAACTCTTCATGAACTTTAAGTGGCTCTGCTGGGGGCGCTGCCTGTTGGCATTCTGTTGTTGTTGGTTGTTAGTGGTGTTTGAATTGGGCAGAATTGCGTAAGGTTGCGGCCCGTTCGGGCTGCCATGGCAACCACAACGAAGCTTTACTTTGGCCACACTTGTTGAAGACGACAAGTTCATTGAACGCAGCAATAAATGTGTCCAGGCCATAGGGATGAGATGCACCTCTGCTGAGCCGCATTGCCGGTTGCCAATCAAGAGCTGAGTTATTGGCCTGTCAGACGAGCCTGGCATAAAACTGGCAATTAAAAGCTCAGGCCGGGCTACTCGAGCTGCCCCTTTCAAAAAGACAGTAGCAGTGGAACCTCATGCAGCAACCTCGTTCAGAAAATCAGTTAAAGGAACCAAGGGAATATCAAAAAATACAGATTTAATCAGTTTTTTCTATTTTATATTGTACATCATAACGCAGGTTCAAGGTTTCATTTTAATTCTATTTCTTATTAATAATTTTGTTAAAAATATTGAGTTTTTGTTTACATACATATATAATAATTTATGTATAATAATTTACGTCATTATTTTAAGTGCTTTTTTGTTTCTAGTGTTTATTGATATATTTGGTCAAATAATAATAATTTTGTCATTGTTTATGGTGGATAACGGCTTAAATTAACAATTTAAAAATTTTTCAACATAATCTCCATCATAGTCAACACACTTGACTATGTTTGTCTACTAGAAAGTCTGCCCCCCAAGCGCAATTTTGAGCTTAGGATATCTCACAAACTTTGAATCGGCGGTCGTCAAAAAACATTTGAAGATTTTGGACAGCCTTCGTATACTTTATTGAAATACAAATATTTGCACAGAAGTAGGATTGTCTAATCCCTCAAAATATATGTATATATTATTGATTAGTATGACAAATCGAGGACCTCCCGGTTCGTGAACACAAGTCCAAATGCAAATTGATAAAAGGGTATGTCAATAAATGCATGTATGAGTATGTATGTATGTACATATGAGCATTATTTGTTTAACTTTGTGCAATTTAATGTCAACAAATTAAATACAAATTCAAAATTGCTTAGTGGATTTTTAGGAACACATCTATTATTCTTCAAATTTCAAAGTGTGGTTTGAAAGAGTTCCCAAAGAATATTTCAATTTGCATTTAAATTTATTACTTGCCGATTCGAATTTTGCCTGTACTGACGTGCAAAAAATACCGACGAAGGTTTTTTTTCTGTGTGGGGACAATTAAATTTGAATTGTTGCATTGGCTTTGATTTGCATGCTGTCTTGACGCAACCAACACCCACATACATATGTACAATATACATACATATGTATATACAATTCCACTCACTACACAGTTCCAGACATGCCACAGACAGTTGGTAAGTCGATGAGCAGAGGCGTTTTCATGTTCTCGCTTCGTAGACTTGACTACGCTGTGGCGTGTGCTAATTGTTTAGGCGTGTATGAGTTTGTCCTGATGGTGTTTGTGACTTTTGCAACAACCTTACAACCACACTCACTCAAAGTCGGCGTCACCTGCAACCGTTATGACAGCAGACAATTTTGTGCGTGTCTTGCACTGCGTGCGATTATCAAATTGTTTCGACCAACAACAACACCATCAACAACAACAACTAAGTAGTAGTGGAACAGGCAGCCACGGAATGTATTTCCAATGTAAATGACTTTTGTTATAGTTGGACGGCCAAGGTGAACGCTGAGCTCACTTACCCAAAAGGGTTTAAAGTCGAATGAAAACAAGTTAACAGATAACAATTGTTATATATACGTTTATGAGCATTTTAATGAGGCCGAGCTATGAAATCTTGTTTATACTCCTCAAAATAATGATATAATCTGTGCTAAAAAGCGCACTTTGAGGAATTCGCATTACATTTTGATAATCTCTTTAGAATAAATTCTAATTACAAAAAATGTATAAAATATATAATTACAATAAATGTATATAACCACAATTCAGAAAGTTTATGCATTATAATTTCAACTAACGAGCTCAGTTATAATAACATTTAAAAACAAATGCCCTCATTTACAGGAAAAATAATTAAATACAAATTTATTAAGGTATTGTTTACATCTGGACTATTTTCGAATAGTTCCCAGTTGATCGCCAAGTTACATAACAGTCCATATGACCAGAGAGGGCACAACTTTTTAAATTTTTTCTGGGTTTTTTTTTGATACATTTTTATTTTAATGTTTATTTTAAATTTAATACATATTTTAAAACCCCGATATAAACAACGTATTTTTATTTCACATGATTTAATTCAAATTTCAAATTATTCCATAAGGCCTACCGAACCCATTGAAGTGCTCTACAGGAGGTCGATCTATCAATGTTTTGTTTGGTATGTTTAGTAACACAACGAATAGACAACAACAATAATAACAATGGGAGCTAAATGTGTAGAAGAAGGTGGATTGTCTGCTTACTGAGAGGCTTTAAATAAACAAACTAATAACAAAAAATTGCTCTGAGTACAGCCAAGGGAAAATCGTAATTGGTGGGAGCGGGATGGACGCAAAGAAGGGAACGAGATAGCAGCTAGTGAGCCAGCTAGTCAGTCGGTTAGCTGTCTGAACTGAACGTCTATAGCAACGGCCCATGCATGCATATATACATATGCATAACCCGAATAAACAAACTAATAAAACATGCCCGTAGACCAAACAGCCAATAACGTACGAAATATTCGAAAAATACCTCAAAAGACTGAAAACCACGAGCGACACGGACACGGACACGGACTGGAACAAGTGTTTTTTATACCGTAACATATGAGCTCTTCAAGTGGAGGTGCAGTCGTGCTGAGCCCGAATTGACTAATCCATAATCCATAAGGCCAGGCAAGGTTGTCGCAGTTCCTGCTTCCGTTGTTTTTGTTGTTGGGATGGTTGCCGCTGCTGGCACAGCTCGCAATGCCAAATTAGATAACCAAACAAAGCGCAAATCGAGTAAGCAACATTCCTCGGCAAGGTGGTAAAAGGTTGTGGGTGAGTATTAAATGTGTCGCCAATGACAAATGCGAATTGAAATGCATTTGCAGGCAAGAGGCACAAGGACGCCAACACACCAATCCGATATTATGCAATGCTAAGCACCTTGATTTGAAGAGCCACCATTATTTGGAGTTGCATTTGGAAAGCTTTATACGGTGTTTAAGAAGAGTGAGTTCCTATTGTTCGTAAAGGGCAAAAAAAAAAAAACTCAGTCCAGCTCGGACTTATCAATAACCAAGAAAATACTTACAAATAACATCCATTTAGAATTGGAGTAAAATGAGTTTGAATTGAGAAAATTCGGTAAACAATTAATGTGCCTAACACTTGCATTTCAGGTTCCTTTAAGCACAGAATGTGTCCCGCTTGCAAAATGTGTAAGAGCCCCGCTGAGTTGTGTTCGGATTTATTATTACTATGAAACATAAAAGTGGAAGAAATACAGGCAGAAAGCCAAGTCAAGGAAGCAGCGGCAGGGGCTACATTAGCAACAACAACACCATCAGTAGCAACAACAAATGCAACGCGCCGCCCTCACATGTCCATGGCAAAATGTCGCGACAAGTCGATGCTAAACAATGAGCACGAGGCAACTAATACAAAAACAGTAACAACAACAGCAACACCAACTACAACAACAACAGCCACAACTAGCACTGCGCTACAACAACAGACCTATTTACCTCAAACATCTTTGCTGAAAATCGAACCATTTGTTCCTAGTTTTAATCAAAGGTTACGCCGGCGTCCTATTGGTCGCTCTTACAGCACCCTAAGCCACAATGTCATACACAAGCGTAGCGCCAGTCCAGCCCCGACTCCAGGTCTGGCCCAGGAGCTGGTGGTGGGCTCTGTGCTGGAATGTTCGCCCACTCCTCAGCCACAGCAGCAGCAGCAGCAGCAACAACAACAACAACAGCAACTGAGGCGAAGTTATGCTGCAGCCGCCCAGTTACGACAGCAACGTCTACCTCCGCGCACCCGCCCTGCCATCATCACACGTCAGCGCTCAAAATCCACAAGTTCGTCGGCTACATCCAATTCCTGTCGCCCACAAACTGCTGCAGCTGTCACATCCAATGGGGGGCCGCCCACGCCGGCCACTTGTGTGGGAAGTACAGGTGGGACGTTGGTAAGTGGGGCGATTGTCACGCCCCAAGCAAACGGGATTTGTCGCATACAACGTCTGATCAAGGAACGCGAGGAGCTTCCTGATCGCATTAATTACGACCGGAGGGGACTAACAGCCATTCCCATATTCGAGCAGGAGCCAAATTTACGTCTCTTATCTCTACAACATAATCTCATTAATATCTTTCACATACCCAAGGAGTTGCCACCGCCACCGGCGCCACCACCACAGCGTCCAGTTTCCACGAACAGCAATATTGAGAGCAACAGCAACAGTAATGGCAGAAATCATGCGGATCACAATGACCACCAGCGAGGATCGACTTCGAATGGCCGCCTGACACGTGCCACCTCCCAATGTCACAACAACAACAATGGCAGTCGACTCTCACCCAAGTCCAACAGCCCCATTGCTAGTCCCTTCACCACTCAATCCCTGGCCATTAATGGTGGCAGTTCCAGTCGTCCCAAGCTGATGAAACGTAGTAGCCTGCTGCAGAGAGGCTATAACTTTACCCAAGCACAGCTGACGCCTTCTGCCCCGAATCAGCTACGCATGCGCATTGGCCTCGAGAAATCCAGGAGCTTCGTTTCCAATTACGGCCCGGCCCCTCGTAGCCTCATGGCCATGAAGCAACAGCATCAGTTAATGCAACGACGCGCCCTTCTAAAGGCCACCGCTGGAGTGGCGGCCATCAACTTACAGAGCTGCGATTCCAGTGCCGATTCCGTGGCCAGTCATATGTACAATGAAATGGGCGGGGGAGGCGAGGAGGAGGAGGAGCCACCATCTGTGGGAAGTCAACTTGAACAGCTAAGCATTAAGAACAAGCAGCTGAGCCTAAGTGCTTGCTATGGCAACATTTTCCAGCACCTCGTCTTTCTCGATCTCTACGACAATCAGATTGAACGAATTGCCAACCTGGATGGATTGCCTTCACTGACAGTTTTGCTGCTCGGAAAGAACCGTATAACAGATATTGGTGGTCTGAACTCGTTGCGGGGCACATTACGTGTCCTCGATCTCCATGGGAACAAGCTGACCAGTATTAGCAATCGCATCAATTGCCTGCATCAGCTTAAGTCCCTCAATCTAGCGGGCAATCAAATACGGCAAATCAATCAGCAGGACTTCAACGGATTGCGCTGCCTCAAGGAACTGAATCTCAAGCGCAACAAAATCAAGCGCATCAATGGCTTTCAGCACTTGGTTGCACTGGAGCGTCTCTGGCTGTGTCATAACGAGCTGCACAAGGTCGACGACATGGCAAGCATTGCTAGGGCCAGCAAGTTGCTTGAGGTGACTATCGAGAACAACCCGGTCTCGCTGGCCGGCGACTGCGTGTCCTTTCTGGTTAGTTACCTGCCGCTTCTGCAGTCGCTCAGTCAGATGCCGATTACGGATCAAGTGCGTCGAGCGGCTTTAAGTTGGCGACAGCATAAGGAGCACGCCGAAGCACAGTCGGTGCATGGGACATCAGAGGCGTATCACAGCATTCGGCGTGAGGAGGTCATCTCGAACGCGCGCACCAATTGGGAGCTGCTAAGATCACAGCAGTCGGTGCAGTCAGCGATACAACGTGGCACAATGCGCAGTCCAAAGAAACTAAAAAGCGAACTGGCCAAGATTAACGAGTCTAATGAGGGAGCAGGCAGCAACAGCGATGAGCAAACAACGACGAGCGCGACGGTAGAGCAATCGCACAATGGTGAACTCCATGCCTTCACCAAACTCCCACCCATAGCCACCAAGAAACCTGATGAAGATGCCTCTTCCGACGCATCAAGTTTGGGGCCCAATGTGGACTCTTGTTCCAGCTGTTACAGCACAGACAACGAAGACGCCTCCGTCAGCATAGCAGGCAAGCGTAGCTCAGCCAAGCAGTCGCCGCACATAGATGAGAATTCCAACAAATTGATGGCAGAGGCAACACCGGAGGCTCAATTGGATCCACAGCTAACAGTTGCAATTCCTAGCCCTTCACCACCCGCCTTAACACTGACGCCTCCAGCAGCTGGGCAGCAACTCGAGCAGCCGAGCACGCCAACGAAACCAATTACGACATCGCCAACGTCGCCTGCAGTGACGCCCACGGCTACTCTGATGCTGCCCCTGCCCTCTGCCCCGGGCAGTGCACGGCCATCGAGCAGCAAAAATCGCGGTGCCCGGTCTGGCTCGAATGCACCTATCACACAAATGGGATTGCACTTGAATAGCGGGAGCAAGACCGGTACCGTCTGCAGGCGCTATATGCCGGGCAGTTTGGTGCGCTCACAAACAGTTGTGGGAGGCGGCGGCGGGAGCAGCAATAACAGCAACAGCAGCTCCAATAGTGGACGGGGCAACAAACAAGCCTCCAATCACTCCTCAAATAATGTTGTTTCGCAAGCGACGCCGCAAACTGTCTCTACTAATAATGGGCCATCTACGAACTCAAGTTCCTCCAATGGCGTGCAAGCTAAGACGTCAGCTGGAGGGAGTGCGGGCGTAGGTAGTGCAGGCTCCGCGCAGTCCACAGCCAGTGCCGCCATCAGTGTGACCAAAAGCAGTGCAGCTGAACGTGAGCGGGAACAGGGAGGTGATTATCTCATTGAGATCTGTGGCCGCTACCTGAACATCTATGGTCAAGGCGCCCTGCGCTTTATTGATAAGCAATGGAATCCCGCCAAGGCCAATGATGTACACACACTGAACTTCAGTTACATTAACTTCAACAACATTGTGGGTGTCCTGGGGAGGATAAAGGTCCGTTTTCCGCATGCTGAAAATTTTGTTTTTCGCGAGACAAACATCAGTTGTCTGGGCCAGTTAAATGCGTTCGCAGAACTGCAAGGGATTAGCACACTACTGATCGATAAGGAGGGGAATGCCATTACCACAAAAGAACTTTGGCGTCCCTATGCTATCTATCGCCTTTCACACTGGGGTCTCAAGCAGCTCAATGGTCAAGACGTTGCAGAGGCGGAAGTGGAGGCTGCCAATACCATGTACGCCGGGCTTTCGGACCTGGTACTCTGGTCCATGCCGGAAGTAATGTTGCAGCCGCTGCTGGCACGTCTGCGTCTGGATGAAACCTGCACAGCCAGCAAGATGTCACCGAAGGAGTGGCTTCAACGGCCAGACAACAAATCGCTGCGCCTTGTCGTGGGCAAAGAAGCTTTGCAATGGAAGAAAACAACGGCCACCAACCAGCAGCAATTACACTTAGCTCCTGATGGCGGTGCCACATCCCTAGCGCCTAGTGCAGCGCTCAGCGCACGTGATCGTGGTCGCCAACATTTCTCATTGATGCTAGAGAACACTTGCAATGCCGTCGAAAAGCTTCACAAGCTGGAGACTTTGTGGCCCAGCATGCTGTTGGATATTGTGCGGAATACGCTACTGGATTATACCCAACTGGAAGTCTACTTGCGTAACCTGATGTGTGAGCTTATGAATTGATTTAAACTAAATGAGTTGGAGGAAGGAAGATACTATGGGAAACAGTCGCTATTTTTTAGACTTCATCGCTTTTAGCTGACCAACATACTGCACCAAGCAAACCGTTTTTCGTGCGATTCTAGGCATTTACATTTAACGAACCCTAATGGTAACCTCTCTTGTAAAGCAACATGTATAAGCAACTAAGTAGTTCAATTTTTATATATATTTAACATTAACATACAAAATAAATAGCATTTTAAAACTAATGAACATTTTAATCCCGATTTTAAACAAGTCCGCCTTCTTCTTACTGAAAGAAATGCTATTCGCAAAGAGCATAATGAAATAGCGTTTGACCCGTAATTTAAACGACTTTTTATCTTTTAACCCAGGATATGTTTTAGCTATACAACATTAAAACCGTGAGCACAAAAATATGAAAAATGTCCGATTTAAAATGCATCCAATCCAGTTGGGTCATTCATCATACAAGTACGTTTGTTAGGGCGTCATAACTAATTCACAATATTATGGCTTACATAAATTTATTTAACATTAGGCTTATAGTACAAATACAATTAAACTAATAAATAAATTGCCATAAGTTCCTTTTTACCAATGACTTTTCAGACATTTTTTTATGGAGTTAGTCTAAAATTTTTAAAATTTCAATAGCACTAATTTGAACGATTAATTATTAAAATCATTCATAGTCTGAAAGTATAACAATTAAGTGGAGTTCCTAATATACCAATGTATGTTTGTTCATTGTCAGGTATAATGATTTTCAAAACCCCTACTCTACCAACAATTTGTCTGCATCATTGCTATTTACTGGCTTTTGCGACTTCTTCACTTTCTCAACGTATATATTGAGAATGGCCTCTATACCGGGATAGAGCACAAAATTGGTAGTGCGAATCTTCTTGTCTATCAGATATGAGGTGACAGATTGTGTATTAAAGGCTATGTCCAGAGCATCACTGTGGCTAACTTTGTCCAGCTGAGTGCGCGACACTTTGATCACACAATTCTCGAATCCGTTCACCTTTATGCTCAGATCTAGCTGGTAAGCAGCGTCTATGTCAGGCCAACGCTGGGCCAGCACATCCTGTTCCCACTGCAACTCGCTACTAGAGGCGTTCAGGCGACCAGGTACGGCCACAAACTTCGACCAAAGTTCGGAAGCAAAATGGGGTGCCATGGGTGCCAGCATTATAATTTGAGCAGCCAGCGCCCGTTCGAATTGCTTTCCGTAGCGTTGCACATGTTTTGGTGTCCGCTAGAAAAAAAAAAGACGAGTAATCAAAATATCGTCTATAGTGAAAAATTAGGAATGCTTACCCGCAAAGAATTGGTTAGACCCTGCATCTTCGATATGGCTACGCTCAATTGATGTGCATGGCGATAATTAAACGTCGTTCCCTTAATGTAGAAATTGCGCGCATCGAAAAGTTTCGCATCTTCCGCCAAAAAAGCCTCACTGCCAATGTCCACAGTTTCCTGCAAAGTTTCTGACCGCGCTGCATGAAAGTCCTGCAGCGTTAACCACAGCCGTTTTTGCCAGTTGAGAATTCCCGGGAAGGCTGCAAGAAATGTAATGTTTTAATTCAGAAATTAATTAAAACCTAAGACAATTTAAAGTCGTTAATGCTAAATTGAAGAATGCTATCCAATATAAATAACCACTCAGAGAAAAGATATTGTTAAAATTAGTACAAAGTATATACATTCTTGTACGGTTGGAACTACCAGAGTTAGAATGGCTCCGATGGAGCTAGAATAGGTTTCTTGAATCCCTAGTCATCAAGAAGGTTTGTTTTTCTGATGCTGGGGTCGCATAATAATTGTGATTTTCCGTAGCTCCTGTAATTCTTGCATATTTTTTGTAATCAAATTTAGTATTTAGGATTGGTTAGTGCTTTGTATGCAGTCACATTACCTCATAAAAGACAATACTTACTTGCACTGGACCAATTGCGATGCGAAGTGGGCGCCACATCTCCAAGAATGATCAAGCGGGTCGTATCTGTGCCGTACTCGTTGAACATGTCGTCAGGTTCCACGCCATTTAACTTAGATTTCGACATCTTTTCCCAACTTATCACCACTGATTCTTTGGTATCCTTAAGCAGTGCCTGGTTTTTCTTGGCATTCACAATTTCCACTTCGTGCTCGCGCACATAGCGACCGCTGCCTTTAACACGATATGAGCGTCCCATGACCATGCCCTGAACCAGTAACCGAGAGAATGGTTCGCTCGTGGGCGACAATCCACAGCTATGCAGAAAGTGATTTATAAAGCGGGCATAATACAAATGCAGCACGGCATGTTCTTTGCCACCTATGTAGAGATCTACGGGCATGCATTCAGCAACCAGATTTTTGTCAAAAATGCGTTCGTCATTGTGTGCGTCCAAGAAACGCAAATAATACCATGAGCTATCCACAAAAGTGTCCATGGTATCTGTTTCTCGCTTTGCCTGCGCATGTCCACACTTCGGACACGCGCAATTAAGGGCATCCTTTCCAGCTTGGCGAGGCGGCAATTGAACAGGCAAGTGATCCTCAGGCACGGGAACAGCCCCACACTTAGGGCAATGCACTATAGGTATGGGAGTGCCCCAGTAGCGTTGACGCGATATCAGCCAATCCTGCAGCTTCGAAGAGACACGGTAGCCGCCAATATTGAGGCGTGCCGCTGACTGAACAACATCCCTGCGCATCTCCTCCCAGTTTCCGGGATTAAAAGCCGTCTCCGAGTTATTCAAGAATGACAAACAAAACATATCCCATAGCTCCTTGTCCTGGGTACGAAAACTGGGAGCTGCGAGGTAAACATCACAGTTTGAAGGAAAAGAAGGTTCGTTACTAAACACAACAGGCAATGCGGTGCCGGAAAAAGGATTCTCAACACTTAGAACATCTGCATTGGGCACCTTTGAAAGATAGTGATTGCTACGTAGCACAATAAACGCGTCCGGATCTTTTAAATGTTCCGGATTTGTTGTCCAAACTCGCAGCAAATTTCCTGCAGATGTTAACAATGTGAAGGCATAACCATCGCAGTCGCCAATCCAGTGACGCTGTAGATTTATAATGTCGCGCCAGTCACGCAGCGTTGGATCTTCAAGCCCGTCGAGCAGCTGCTTGGCAAAGGCGCTTGTTCGTATGAACCACTGCTTCAGCAACTTTTTCTCCACTTTGGCGCCGGAACGCCACGAACAGCCATTGTCATCGACCTGTTCATCGGCCAATACAGTCTTATCTACCGGATCCCAGTTTACCAGCGCTTCATTCTGATACGCCAGCCCTTGCTTGTAAAGCATAAGGAACAAATACTGCGTCCACTTGTAGTACTTGGGACTACAAGTCGACAGCTCGTGCTTCCAGTCGAAGGAACAGCCCAGACGTTGCAGTTGCTTTTTCATTTGGGCAATATTTTGTTCCGTCCAGGCGGCGGGCTCTACACCGCGTTGATTGGCCGCATTTTCTGCAGGCAAGCCAAACGAATCCCACCCAATGGGCTGAAATACATTCTTGCCACACATACGTTGGAAACGCGCCACTGCATCACTTATGGTGTAAACACGCACGTGGCCCATGTGCAGATTTCCCGACGGATATGGAAACATGGAAAGCACGTAGTATTTATTCGACGGCTGCGTTACACTGAACTGTCCACCACTCAGGCTATCCCGCCAATGGGCCTCTATGCGATGTTTTACATCGTTTGTCAGCTCCGTGACCTACAAAAAAAACCTTTACTTTATAATGGATCTACAACTGTATTTTCCACCTACCTCTTGGCCTGTGCAGCTTTGCGTCAGCAGCCGGCTGCTGATGCTAAAACGATACGCCCGCAAATGGAGCGTCTGCCTCAGCACATGCATTTCAATTATTTTGATTGACTAATTAAATGGACCGCGCATCTATTAAATAACAAACACGAAACAAAATGTGCAGTCGTAATAGCAGTGCTGCCACAGCGACGGCAGCACAGCTGATTGCCGGTAAAATTTTTGGCGGGAAGCACTTTCCATCAACTGGCAGCGCTATCAAAATGTAAACACAGAGCTGCGTTCTAAATATCTATCGCCGTGTGGCATCATTTTGCTTCTTTTGCCACTTTTCGACCGAAATGGCATCACCGCCGATGCATTTTCGCGAAAACTGCAGACGTAATCACATCTGCATTTTGAGAAAAACTCTAATTGGAAACTATTGATTGTGTATTTTTGTGCGAAAATCGTGCAAAAGCATGGGAGATTCACTGGAGAACGCCGATACGTCGGTGGATCCGGTGGTGAATGTATCCATCGTCAACTACGACTCTTTTGCTAATTATATTCGCAAGGCAGTGACCATTCTACTGCCCGAGGAGGATGTTGTCCCACCTTCCTTAAACAGGGCGCTGGACGATCCTATAAACCAGGAGACAGTGAAGAAGTTTCTGTCTGACCCGCAGGTGCAGGCTCTCTATATCCAACGCAACTGCATTAAAGGTAAGCAGCGACTAGGGCGACGCCCCAAATGCCAAATTGGGCCCATCTGCACAAGATGGCGGCCCAATTAGTGCAGAAAAAGAGGAAAATTGGGGAAACAACTTTAAAAAAATGAAAGCCATTGCTGTAACAGATTAAATTCTAAAGAAAAGTCCAAATTTTTAATTGAACAACATTTTTGTTAAAAATCAATAGAGTTTTAACTTTGCTTTTTTGCCTCTGCCTTTTCTTTAAAACTGGTTGTGCGCATGACGTCATGCCAGCTGACTCACCCAGTCACCAGTTGCTTTCGACGCTGGCAGCGCTTGCGTCGTTTCGCGTCTGTCCGCATGTAAACAAACATCGGAGCAGCCAATACCTCCAACCACTTGTTGATAAACGCAGCAGCTGTTGCCGCACGCCACGCCGGCTCGTTTGTTTACGGAAGCGACCTTGAGTTGCTTTACAGTTGCCGACTTGCCTTGCGACTTTGAACGTGACATTGCCCTGACGTGCGCGTCCAAGGCAAAGGCAGGCAGCCAGCCTCGCCTCAGGGTCGCGTGGGAGCAATGTACCGCACTCAAGGTTCAGCCTTGAATGAACGAAATTCGAAGGTTTTCACCTTGGCTGGCTAAAATTTCGAAGGCTGTTGCCTTGATAATGAAATGATGTCAGTGCCATTTGGCAGTGCGTTATTGAGTGCGCGATAATTTTCGTACAAGAGCGAAATGAGAGAGTGGTGGTGGGTGGGGGAGGTTCTGTAAACTTAATGGGAATTGACTCACTCCCGTTTCATTTGGTTTCAGAAGATGACAGCGAGCAACCAGCTGAGGGCGAGGAGGAAAAGGAGCAGGTGACCTACCAAATCAGCAATGATGTCCATTTCACTAACAGCCGCATGGCGTCGCTGGCCTGCATCAAACGCGGCGCTGTCGTTGAGGCAGACAAATCCATACATTCGCAGTTGCGGTTGATTAACTTCTCGGACGGTTCGCCATATGAGACGTTGCATGCATTCATTAGCAAGTCGTTGGCGCCGTACTTCAAATCGTACGTCAAGGAGTCAGGTCGCGCTGATCGCGATGGCGACAAGATGGCACCATCGGTTGAGAAGAAACTGGCGGAGCTGGAAATGGGTCTTTTGCATTTGCAGCAGAACATCGATATACCCGAGATTACACTGACAGCTCATCAGACTGTCAACACTGTCATACGGACATGCAATGCAGAAGGCCGCAAAGCTAAAGTAGCTGATTTCGGTGACAAAGTGCAAGACTCTTCATTCCTAAATCAGCTTCAAAATGGCGTAAATCGTTGGATTACCGAAATCAAGAAGGTAACCAAATTGAATCGTGACCCCGGATCGGGCACAGCCTTGCAGGTGAGTTAGACAAGTCCTTATTATTAGATTAAATTAATATACTATAAGTATCGGTTTGTATTTTTAGGAAATATCTTTCTGGCTCAACTTAGAGCGTGCTCTTTATCGCATTCAAGAAAAACGCGAGTCGCCAGAGGTAGCCCTTACCTTGGACATACTAAAGCATGGAAAACGCTTCCATGCCACTGTTTCCTTCGATACGGATACTGGCCTCAAGCAGGCGCTGGCCACAGTGGCCGACTACAATCCGCTTATGAAGGACTTCCCCATCAATGATTTACTTTCAGCCACAGAACTGGAGAAAATTCGGCCAGCAGTTCAGCAGATTTTTTCGCATTTGCGTAAGGTGCGCAATACAAAGTATCCCATTCAGCGCTGCCTGAAGCTCATTGAAGCCATCTCTAGGGACTTGTCCCAGCAGCTGCTGAAGGTGTTGGGCACACGACGCCTCATGCACATTCCTTTCGATGAATTCGAACGCGTGATGAGCCAGTGCTTTGAGATCTTTAGCTGCTGGGATGATGAATATGACAAGTTGCAAGGCTTATTGCGAGACATTGTCAAAAAGAAGCGTGATGAGCATCTGAAGATGGTCTGGCGTGTGTCACCCGCGCACAAAAAGCTGCAGACGCGCATGGAGCATATGAGAAAGTTTAGACGTCAGCACGAGCAGTTGCGGACTGTCATCTTGCGTGTGCTGCGGCCCACCAAGCAAGCGGTCACTGTCGACGGCAGTGTCGTGGAAACAAAGCAACCGTACAGCTTGGATGCTGCTGATGCTAATGCCATCGAGGAGGTCAATTTGGCGTATGAGAATGTCAAGGAGGTCGACTGTCTTGACATAACAAAGGAGGGGTCCGAGGCTTGGGAAGCTGCTGTCAAGCGATATGAAGAAAAAATTGGTAGGTCTCAATATCCACTCAAAAATGTTCATTTATATTCAAGAACTACAAATAGAAGCTTTTCTTACATTTTGTACTAGTCATAAAAAAGACTGAAAATAGACAAAATTCAAGTAACATTTAGTAATTCAAACAATATTTTACAAGTCCAAAATTTATAACAAAAATGGAACACATAAATCTACGAAGATGTTCACCCATTCTAATATCATTTTTAAAGGCATTTTTTAATCATTTTGTTTACATTAAAGTGCCGTCTGATATTGGTGGTAATAAATGATAAAGAAATCAATAAATCTATGTACAGGATAAAATAGTTAGGCATTAAATAGCATTAAAACGCTAAAAAAAACAAATCTTAGAAAATTAAGAATGACATTCGTACAACAAATCGCTAAGGGGTTACCCAAGTAATACATTTTAGATAAACATTTTTCATTCAAATATCTTTAATTGCCTTTACTTCACAATTAATTAATTTAATAATGTATCACTCCATTTATTCGTAGATCGTGTCGAGACTCGAATCACTGCACATTTGCGTGACCAACTCGGCACGGCAAAGAACGCTAACGAGATGTTCCGCATCTTCTCGCGATTCAATGCGTTGTTTGTACGTCCACATATTCGTGGGGCCATACGCGAGTACCAAACACAATTGATTCAGCGCGTCAAGGACGATATTGAGGCGCTGCACGAAAAGTTCAAGGTGCAGTATCCGCAGAGCAAAAGCTGCCGCTTGTCCTCAGTGCGTGATTTGCCGCCAGTAGCGGGTTCCATTATATGGGCACGACAAATCGACAATCAACTTACGATGTATCTGAAGCGTGTTGAGGATGTGCTGGGCAAAGGCTGGGAGACACACATTGAGGGCCAAAAACTGAAGGCCGATGGCGATAGCTTTCGGGCTAAGCTCTCCATATCAGACGTGTTCCATGAGTGGGCACGAAAGGTGCAGGAGCGCAACTTTGGCAGCACTGGGCGAATTTTCACCATTGAATCGACACGGTCGCGCATCGGGCGCGGCAATGTGCTACGTTTGAGGGTTAACTTTTTGCCTGAGATCATTACGCTAGCCAAGGAAGTTCGAAACATCAAGAACTTGGGCTTCAGGTAAGAGAAAGACCAACGCAGACTAAGCCGGGTGTAAACCATTCTATTTTATTTACTGCAGAGTTCCTCTGACTATTGTGAACAAGGCCCATCAGGCCAATCAGATCTATCCTTATGCTATTTCATTAATTGAAAGCGTTCGCACCTACGAACGCACATTGGAAAAGGTGAGTTACCGTGTCGGCTAAGTATTTTTGTCTACAATATTTTGCAAACACTCTAAAACTCACATACACCCAAAATCCACTATCGAAATCACAATTTTAAAGCAGTCGCTCCTGCTTTTATATATTTGCTGTGTTCTTTATATTGATAAGGCGTACAGCTTCAATTTATTAATTGTACTTGGCCCACACCATAAACCACTTGAATACATCCACATCCACACCGAGTATCAGCTTCAGAGAACACTCTTCATATGCTTATAATAAACAACCTTTAAATCAAACAACCAACCAACAAACTTTCTTTCATGCAGCTTAATAATAGGAGTCTAGCACAAAATTCAGTATTCAAGGTAGTGTCTTTGTTGTTTTCCTGTAACAGTTTTATTGCAACCTCTTTTGTTCGTGTTTTCTAGAGAATAGTTCATATCCTGCATGCATTACAATGTCCCTAAATATTGTTGTTCGAATCAAAGTGTTACTAATTGGTTTTGTTGATATATTTTTCATATAGATCGAAGATCGTGCCAGCATTGTGCCTCTGGTTGCAGGATTACGCAAGGAGGTCTTGAACTTAGTCTCGGAGGGTATTGGCTTGATCTGGGAATCATATAAACTCGATCCCTATGTCTTGCGCTTGTCGGAGTGCGTTACTCAGTTCCAAGAAAAGGTAACAGTAAAACATATAAATTGTATATTTTATTTTGTTATCTTTTGCAAACTTTTTTGCAGGTTGATGACTTACTGGTCGTCGAGGAGCAGCTGGATGTCGACGTACGTTCACTGGAAACCTGTCCCTATAGCGCTGCTACTTTTGTGGAAATCCTGTCAAAAATACAGCACGCTGTTGATGATTTGTCTCTGCGTCAATACTCCAACTTAAGCGTTTGGGTCTCACGTCTTGATGAAGAAGTTGAAAAGAAACTGGCTTTGCGACTGCAGGCCGGCATTCAGGCTTGGACTGAGGCCCTTACCGGCAATAAGAAGGAAGTGGACACCTCAATGGACACGGACGCGCCAGCTCAGCCAACTCACAAGCTTGGGGGAGAACCTCAAATACAGAACGCCGTACACGAGATACGCATTACCAACCAGCAAATGTATCTGTATCCCTCAATCGAAGAGGCACGTTTTCAAATAATGCAGCAATTCTTTGCCTGGCAGGCAATTGTCACCTCGCAAGTGCGTCTGCAGAGCACACGTTATCAAGTAGGCCTGGAAAAGCCAGTTTCGCAAACGTATCGCAATTTGTTGACGAAGCTACCAGAGGGCAAAATTTTGGAGAATGCTTACGGCGCCATCGAGCATAAAGTTAGCGAAGTGCGCAACTATGTGGATGAATGGCTGCGCTACCAAAGTCTGTGGGACTTGCAGGCAGATACGCTATACGGTCGTCTTGGCGAAGATGTAAATTTGTGGATAAAATGTCTTAACGATATCAAACAATCACGCACAACTTTCGACACCTCGGACACTCGTCGCGCCTTTGGCCCTCTTATAATTGACTATGCCAAGGTGCAAGCCAAGGTCACATTGAAGTATGATTCATGGCACAAGGAAGCGCTTGGAAAGTTTGGCACTTTGCTAGGAACCGAGATGACCACATTCCATTCAAAAGTTTCTAAATCGCGCACTGATCTGGAAATGCAAAGCATTGAGGCCGCCAGCACTTCGGATGCTGTCAGCTTCATTACTTATGTGCAGTCGCTGAAGAAGGACATGATTGCCTGGGACAAGCAAGTTGAGGTGTTCCGTGAGGCGCAGCGAATCTTGGAGCGACAGCGCTTCCAATTCCCCAACAATTGGCTACATGTCGACAATATCGAAGGTGAATGGTCTGCCTTCAATGAGATCATTAAGCGTAAGGACACCGCTATACAAACCCAAGTTGCCAGCTTGCAGGCCAAGATCGTGGCAGAGGACAAAGCCGTTGAGACTCGCACTGTCGACTTCCTAAATGATTGGGAGAAAACCAAACCAACTGGTGGCAAGATTCGTCCTGATGATGCATTGCAACAATTGCAGATTTTCGAAAGCAAATATTCACGTCTTAAAGAAGAACGCGATAATGTAGCAAAGGCAAAGGAAGCGCTCGAGCTGCAGGAGTCGGCGGTGCCCAACAACAGTGCAGAGCGCATGAATGTGGCTCTAGAGGAACTGCAGGATCTTCGTGGCGTTTGGAGCGAATTGTCCAAGGTGTGGACTCAGATCGATGAGACGCGTGAGAAGCCTTGGTTGTCGGTGCAGCCGCGTAAATTACGTCAGCAGCTGGAAGCTATGATGGCACAACTAAAGGAGTTGCCGGCCCGTCTGCGAATGTACGAATCCTACGAGTATGTTAAGAAGCTCATTCAAAGCTACATTAAGGTTAACATGCTAATTGTTGAGTTGAAATCGGACGCGCTGAAGGAACGCCATTGGAAACAGTTGACCAAGCAGCTGCGAGTAAATTGGGTTATATCCGATTTAACTTTGGGCCAGGTTTGGGATGTTAATTTGCAAAAGAACGAGGGCATTGTCAAGGATATTATACTGGTGGCTCAAGGTGAGATGGCTCTGGAAGAGTTCCTTAAGCAGGTTCGAGAGTCCTGGCAAAATTACGAGCTGGACTTAATCAACTACCAGAACAAATGCCGCATTATTCGTGGCTGGGACGATCTATTTAATAAAGTAAAGGAACATATCAACTCAGTGGCCGCCATGAAACTGTCGCCATACTACAAGGTATTTGAGGAAGAGGCCCTAACTTGGGAGGAGAAGCTCAACCGTATTAACGCCCTTTTCGATGTTTGGATTGATGTGCAACGTCGTTGGGTATATCTTGAAGGAATCTTCTCGGGAAGTGCCGATATTAAAACATTGTTGCCCGTGGAGACTTCGCGTTTTCAGAGCATTAGCTCAGAATTTTTAGGCCTAATGAAGAAAGTAACGAAATCCCCCAAGGTCATGGATGTCTTGAACATTCCAGCAGTACAGAGGTCATTGGAACGTCTTGCCGATTTGCTGGGCAAAATTCAAAAGGCTCTTGGCGAATATTTAGAACGTGAACGTACGTCTTTCCCGCGCTTCTACTTCGTGGGTGATGAGGATCTGCTGGAGATTATTGGTAACAGCAAAAATATTGCGCGCTTGCAAAAACATTTCAAGAAAATGTTCGCCGGTGTGGCGGCCATTCTGCTGAATGAGGAGAACAATGTCATTCTGGGAATATCGTCACGTGAAGGCGAAGAGGTGCACTTTATAAATCCCGTATCTACTGTGGACCATCCCAAGATAAATGAATGGCTTTCGCTCGTGGAGAAGCAAATGCGTTTTACACTTGCCTCCCTGTTGGCCCAAGCAGTGCAGGATATTAAACAGTTTCGCGATGGCAAAATTGATCCGCAAAAGTACATGGAATGGTGTGATAAATACCAGGCTCAAATTGTGGTGCTTGCTGCTCAAATTTTATGGTCCGAAGATGTTGAGGCGGCTTTACAACAGGCTTCAGAAAGTAATAACTCCAAACCCATGCAACGGGTTTTGGGCAATGTAGAGAGCACACTTAATGTTCTGGCTGATTCCGTACTTCAGGAGCAGCCGCCACTGCGCCGCCGCAAGCTGGAACATTTGGTAAGTTTACATATTTTTATTTACTTGCTTATAAATAATGGTATTAATCATTAATTTTTGTTCAGATTAATGAATTTGTGCACAAGCGGACTGTTACACGTCGTTTAATCACCAACGGCGTCACTTCGCCAAAATCTTTCTTGTGGCTGTGCGAGATGCGGTTCTACTTCGATCCCCGCCAGACGGAGGTGCTGCAGCAACTGACGATTCACATGGCTAATGCACGTTTCTTCTACGGCTTTGAATATCTGGGTGTACAGGACCGTCTTGTGCAAACACCCCTGACCGATCGTTGCTATCTGACCATGACACAGGCCCTGGAATCACGTTTGGGCGGATCGCCTTTCGGACCCGCTGGTACCGGCAAAACAGAGTCGGTGAAGGTCAGTCGATCAAATAACCCTTCTATTTAACATTTTAAATAATTGTTTATTAATATTTTTCTGCACATTTAGGCTCTAGGTAATCAGCTGGGTCGCTTCGTTCTGGTCTTCAATTGCGACGAAACCTTCGACTTCCAGGCCATGGGCCGCATCTTTGTGGGCCTGTGCCAAGTGGGCGCTTGGGGCTGCTTCGATGAGTTCAATCGCTTAGAGGAGCGTATGCTGTCCGCTTGTTCGCAACAAATTCAGACCATACAAGAGGCGCTCAAGTACGAAATGGATAGCAACAAAGAAAGCATTACTGTTGAGCTTGTTGGCAAGCAAGTACGCGTTTCGCCTGATATGGCAATTTTCATAACTATGAATCCGGGATATGCTGGTCGCTCCAATTTGCCCGACAATTTGAAGAAGCTTTTCCGCTCACTGGCCATGACAACACCAGATCGTCAGTTGATTGCAGAAGTAATGCTTTTCTCACAGGGCTTTCGCTCTGCCGAAAAACTTGCCTGCAAAATTGTGCCGTTCTTCAAGCTGTGCGATGAACAGCTCTCCAATCAAAGCCACTACGACTTCGGCTTGCGTGCTCTGAAATCTGTGCTCATCTCAGCTGGAAACGTAAAACGTGATCGCATTATGAAGATTAAGGAACAGATGCGTCAGCGTGGTGAAGAAAACATCGATGAGGCTTCGGTGGCAGAGAATTTGCCTGAACAGGAAATTCTTATTCAGTCGGTGTGCGAGACAATGGTGCCCAAGTTGGTAGCTGAGGATATTCCTCTGTTGTTCTCACTGCTAAGCGATGTGTTCCCGAATGTGGGTTACACACGCGCCGAAATGAAAGGCCTCAAGGAGGAGATACGCAAGGTGTGCCAGGAGGACTATCTGGTGTGCGGGGAAGGTGATGAGCAGGGCGCTGCTTGGATGGAAAAGGTTAGTGGGGAAAACGATTATTGGTAATTTCAAAATACATTTGTGCTGTGACTATTTATATTACACATGCTCACTACTTTTAAAAAAAGGGACTCGGATCTACTTGGGTCGACAAAGTAACAACAATTTTACTGTGAATTCCACGAAATTCTAAATAACGCAATTTTGCTTTCCGTTTAGGTGCTTCAACTATACCAAATTTCCAATCTCAATCATGGTCTCATGATGGTGGGACCCTCCGGTTCGGGAAAATCCACCGCATGGCGTACTCTGCTCAAGGCATTAGAACGCTTCGAAGGCGTCGAAGGTGTCGCTCATGTAATTGATCCAAAGGCCATCTCCAAAGAGGCTCTATATGGTGTGCTGGATCCAAATACTCGCGAATGGACTGACGGTCTTTTCACCCATATTTTGCGCAAGATCATTGACAACGTGCGTGGTGAAATCAACAAGCGGCAATGGATTATATTCGATGGCGACGTGGATCCTGAGTGGGTGGAGAATTTGAATTCAGTGCTTGATGACAACAAATTGCTGACCTTGCCAAATGGCGAGCGTCTCTCGTTGCCGCCCAACGTACGTGTTATGTTCGAAGTGCAAGATCTTAAGTTTGCCACTTTGGCAACGGTATCTCGTTGCGGAATGGTCTGGTTCTCTGAGGATGTTCTCTCCACCGAGATGATCTTTGAGAATTACTTGTCACGTTTGCGCAGCATTCCCTTGGAGGATGGTGACGATGACTTTGTGGGGGTTGTGAAACCAGCCAAGGATAAAGAAGAGGAGGTTTCGCCATCGTTGCAGGTGCAGCGCGATATTGCGCTGCTTTTGCAGCCATTCTTCTCGGCCGATGGCATTGTAGTGCGAACTCTCGAGTATGCCATGGATCAAGAGCACATCATGGACTTTACGCGCCTGCGGGCACTCAGTTCGCTCTTCTCAATGTTGAACCAGGCAGCCCGAAATGTTCTAAACTTTAATGCGCAACATCCGGACTTCCCCTGCTCGGCTGATCAGCTCGAGCACTATATACCTAAGGCTTTGGTTTATTGCGTGCTCTGGTCATTTGCTGGGGACGCTAAGCTCAAGGTGCGTACTGATCTGGGCGACTTTGTGCGCAGTGTGACGACCATTCCGCTGCCAGGAGCCGCTGGCGCTCCCATTATCGACTACGAGGTGAGCATGAATGGAGAATGGGTGCCGTGGTCAAACAAAGTGCCCGTTATTGAGGTGGAAACGCATAAGGTGGCGTCGCCTGATATTGTAGTGCCTACGTTGGACACAGTACGTCATGAATCGCTGCTCTACACATGGCTAGCTGAGCACAAGCCATTAGGTAAGTTCGACTAGCTGGACCTTTAATAAAATCTTTCCTGATAACAACGTCCTATTTTCTTTTCAGTGCTGTGCGGCCCACCAGGCTCTGGTAAGACAATGACACTATTTTCCGCTTTGCGTGCCCTGCCTGATATGGAGGTTGTGGGCTTGAACTTCTCTTCTGCAACCACTCCCGAGCTGTTGTTGAAAACATTCGATCATTATTGTGAGTACCGCAAGACCCCCAATGGTGTTGTGCTGTCACCTGTGCAGATTGGCAAATGGCTGGTGTTGTTCTGTGATGAAATTAACTTGCCTGATATGGACACCTATGGAACACAGCGTGTTATATCGTTCTTGCGTCAGCTCGTTGAGCACAAGGGATTCTTTAGAGCCAGTGATCAGGCTTGGGTATCGCTGGAGCGCATTCAGTTTGTTGGAGCGTGTAATCCACCTACGGATCCTGGCCGCAAACCACTCTCGCATCGTTTCCTGCGCCATGTGCCTATCATTTATGTGGACTATCCTGGAGAGACATCGCTTAAGCAAATCTATGGCACATTCTCGCGTGCTATGCTGCGGTTGATGCCGGCTTTGCGCGGCTATGCGGAACCGTTGACCAACGCCATGGTTGAATTCTACTTAGCATCACAGGATCGCTTCACCCAGGATATGCAGCCGCATTACGTTTACTCGCCGCGTGAAATGACTCGTTGGGTTCGTGGTATTTGCGAAGCCATTCGTCCCTTGGATTCGCTTCCAGTTGAAGGCTTGGTGCGTCTCTGGGCTCATGAGGCGCTTCGCCTTTTCCAAGATCGTTTGGTTGATGACACGGAGCGTCGTTGGACCAACGAGAACATTGATTTAGTCGCCCAAAAACACTTCCCAGGCATTCATCAGGAGGAGGCCCTTATGCGGCCAATTCTCTACAGCAATTGGCTGTCCAAGGATTATATGCCAGTAAATCGCGAAGAACTCCGCGACTACGTTCGAGCGCGCCTCAAGGTCTTCTATGAAGAAGAACTCGATGTGCCTCTCGTACTTTTCGATGAAGTGTTGGATCATGTGTTGCGCATTGATCGAATCTTCCGTCAACCGCAGGGTCATCTGCTGCTCATCGGTGTTTCAGGCGCTGGCAAGACCACACTTTCACGTTTTGTGGCCTGGATGAATGGGCTTTCGATTTTCCAAATCAAGGTGCACAACAAATACACAAGCGAGGACTTCGATGAAGATTTGCGCTGCGTTTTGCGTCGTTCAGGCTGTAAGGATGAGAAGATTGCCTTCATTCTGGACGAGTCCAATGTGCTAGACTCGGGCTTTTTAGAGCGCATGAACACGCTTTTGGCCAACGGCGAAGTACCCGGCCTCTTTGAGGGCGACGAATACACCACGTTGATGACACAATGCAAGGAGGGCGCACAGCGCGAGGGTCTTATGTTAGACTCTAGTGACGAACTATACAAGTGGTTTACTCAACAAGTCATGCGCAATCTGCACGTGGTCTTCACAATGAATCCATCGACGGATGGTCTTAAGGATCGGGCGGCCACATCGCCAGCATTGTTCAATCGTTGTGTGCTCAATTGGTTCGGCGACTGGTCGGATTCAGCACTGTTCCAGGTGGGCAAGGAGTTCACCACCCGTGTGGATCTGGAAAGGCCAAACTGGTCACCACCTGACTTCTTTCCCTCTGTGTGCCCGCTGGTACCTGCTAATCCCACGCATCGTGACGCTGTCATCAATTCGTGTGTCTACGTTCATCAGACGCTTCATCAAGCCAATGCTCGTCTGGCCAAACGGGGTGGTCGCACTATGGCTGTGACTCCCCGTCATTATCTCGATTTCATCCACCACTTTGTCAAGCTGTACAATGAGAAACGCAGTGATCTGGAAGAGCAACAGTTGCATTTGAATGTAGGCCTCAACAAAATTGCTGAGACTGTCGAACAGGTCGAGGAGATGCAAAAGTCGCTGGCCGTGAAGAAGCAGGAGCTGCAGGCTAAGAACGAGGCTGCCAATGCCAAGCTCAAGCAGATGTTCCAAGATCAGCAGGAGGCTGAGAAGAAGAAGATACAATCGCAGGAGATACAAATTCGATTGGCGGATCAGACAGTGAAAATCGAGGAGAAGCGCAAATATGTTATGGCTGATCTGGCACAAGTGGAACCGGCTGTTATTGAAGCACAACAAGGTGAGTTTCTCGGGCACCAGTTCAAAAGCGGGCGGGTATGCTTAAAGAGTTAGTTAGGAGCATAGCTATAAGTTGACAATTACCAACTATGAAAATGTACGATTTGATACGATATTTTTATGTAATTTCGACTACTACTATTTACACACGACACCCACACTACCTACCAACAACTATCAACCGCACCGAGCAGCCGTTAGCTCCATTAAAAAGAAACACTTGGCCGAGGTACGCTCTATGGCAAATCCACCGGCTGTGGTAAAATTAGCCCTGGAATCGGTCTGTGAGCTGCTCAATGAGAGTGCTACCGATTGGAAGGCCATACGCGGCATACTTGTCAAAGATAGTTTCATTTCGTCGATTGTTAATTTGGAAACTGATAAGATCACGTATGCAAATCTTTCTTTAAACAATATGATATATCATCATGCACTTCTAATACTCCACCACTCCATTCGTAACATGCCATTCATCAAACAATTCCATCACGTTCCGAATTGTGAACTAACTGGCTTCCACATATAATTGGAATCATCATGCATACATATATACTCGTAATTTATAACTCAGCAAGTCAAAGTATATTATTCACTGCTCGTATATAGAAAAACACACACCAAGAACACAACTGCATACGCAATGCACTGGCAAAGCTCAATCTACTTACGATAACTCAACTTATATCTACCTGTATACATATTTACGTACTATCTAGTATGTACTTGTATGTAACTACTGCTCTACATAACATGTGAATAGCTGTAAAAAGCCATATTGATCTCGGATAGAAAGGGCGATCAATAAACTGATTTCACATCCTTCCATAGATATTTAACATAATTTAAAGATCTCTTAATTTACTGATCCCTTTCCCTTTCTTTCCGAGACCTAAAAACCTATATGTATGTGTAATTAAAACGACGTAGGTCGGAATTGTAATTGTAATCAGTAACAAGGGGTCCAAAGCATTGAGAGGGAATATATACAATATACATATATATTTATTTATACTGCCCTAATAGACGTGAACGAGGTCGAAAATGTTCGTTTAGTTATTAACTCTAGCTGTTAAGATTAATCTAACTAATGTTACTAGTGTACACAAATATACGTAAGTACGTCGTTGTACTGTATAATAATTTTGATCCTTCATGTTAACCCACCAACGAACACCACAAACTTGCGCAGCTGTCAAGTCCATACGCAAGCAACAGCTCGTTGAGGTGCGCACCATGGCTAATCCACCATCGGTGGTCAAATTGGCTCTCGAATCGATCTGCCTGCTGCTGGGCGAGAATGCAACCGATTGGAAATCGATACGCGCTGTTATAATGCGCGAAAATTTCATAAATTCAATTGTATCTAACTTCGGTACCGAGCATATAACGTAAGCATGACCCAAATTTTTATCCACATCTTGTTCTCGAGTTGTTGAAAGTTTCTAGTAGCAATTATGATTCGATATGATTTTATTGGATATCTACATTGTTTTAATTAGTGAATCTTATTTTCCTATTTGTAGTTTTGAATGAATGTTGCGTTGAAATTTTGTAAATATTCTCAGTTTTCTTTCTTTCTTTGTTCGTTGATTTTTCCACCTACTACGTAATGGTGAAAACATTCCAAAAACATGCATTTTTCTTTAACAATTTTGGTAATTGGCATAACTTCTAAAATATATTTATTTGGTTTTGGTAAAATTTTGCGTTGTCCATACTTAATAGTAATTGATTGCTTTGCTTGCTTAATTCATGCCAATAACTCATTTCGCTTATTATTCACAAAGAAAACAGTTTACTAAAATAAACATCTGCCTTTCACACGAAACAGCGATGAAGTACGCGAGAAAATGAAGTCCAAGTATCTCAGCAATCCAGACTATAACTTTGAGAAGGTCAATCGTGCCAGTATGGCTTGCGGTCCCATGGTGAAATGGGCCATTGCTCAGGTAAGCATATAATTTTGCCAATTTACTTAATGCATTTAGATAAATCGATCTTACATTTTAACCGTAGATCGAATACGCCGATATGTTAAAGAGAGTGGAGCCTTTGCGCGAGGAGCTACGTTCGTTGGAGGAACAGGCTGAGGTTAATAAGCAAAGCGCCAAGGAGACAAAAGATCTTGTGGAGCAACTGGAGCGCAGCATTGCTGCTTATAAGGAGGAGTACGCACAGCTAATCTCACAGGCGCAAGCAATCAAGACGGATCTGGAGAATGTGCAGGCCAAGGTCGATCGTTCGATAGCTTTACTCAAGAGCTTGAACATTGAGCGTGAACGTTGGGAATCTACCAGCGAAACCTTCAAGTCACAAATGTCCACCATTGTGGGAGATGTTCTGCTATCGGCGGCATTTATAGCTTATGGCGGCTACTTTGATCAGCACTATCGGTTGAATTTATTCACCACATGGTCGCAACATCTTCAATCCGCCAGCATTCAATACCGCGCCGATATTGCACGCACGGAGTATCTGTCCAACCCGGATGAGCGATTGCGCTGGCAGGCTAATGCTTTGCCGACTGACGATCTGTGTACGGAGAATGCAATTATGTTGAAACGCTTCAACCGATATCCACTTATCATCGATCCGTCTGGACAGGCAACCACTTTCCTGTTGAATGAATATGCGGGCAAGAAGATTACAAAGACCTCATTCTTGGACGATTCGTTCCGTAAGAATTTGGAATCGGCATTGCGTTTCGGCAACCCGCTCTTGGTGCAGGATGTTGAAAACTACGATCCCATATTAAACCCCGTGTTGAATCGCGAATTGCGTCGAACTGGCGGCCGCGTGTTGATCACGCTCGGCGATCAGGATATCGATTTGTCGCCCTCGTTCGTTATTTTCCTATCCACGCGCGATCCCACCGTGGAGTTCCCGCCCGACATTTGTTCTCGCGTCACCTTTGTCAACTTCACAGTAACGCGGAGCTCACTGCAATCGCAGTGTCTCAACCAAGTACTGAAGGCCGAACGCCCAGATATTGACGAGAAGCGCTCTGACCTACTTAAACTGCAAGGCGAGTTCCGTTTGCGCTTGCGCCAGCTGGAGAAGAGTCTTCTGCAGGCTCTGAACGATGCTAAGGGCAAGATTTTGGACGATGATTCCGTCATCACAACGCTTGAAACTCTGAAGAAAGAGGCCTACGATATTAATCAAAAGGTAGACGAAACCGATAAGGTTATTGCAGAAATTGAAACCGTCTCGCAACAGTACCTGCCCCTTTCGGTGGCATGCAGTAATCTCTATTTCACCATGGACAGCCTCAATCAGGTGCACTTCCTGTATCAGTACTCGTTGAAAATGTTTTTGGACATTTTCTCTACGGTTCTGTACAACAATGCGCGTCTGGAGGGCAAGAGCGATCATGCCGAGCGACTAGGCATTGTTACCAAGGATCTGTTCCAAGTGTGCTACGAGCGTGTGGCACGGGGCATGTTGCACAATGATCGCCTGACCTTTGCACTACTCATGTGTAAGATTCATCTGAAGGGCACATCGGAGTCAAATCTGGACACCGAGTTTAATTTCTTCTTACGAAGCCGAGAGGGCCTATTGGCCAATCCTACACTGGTCGATGGTCTGAGTGCCGAGCAGATAGAGGGCGTCAATCGCCTGGCCACTCGTTTGCCCATTTTCCGCAAACTGGTCGAGAAAGTCAGGTCTATGCCAGAGCTGGGAGCCTGGTTGCAGCAGAGTTCGCCGGAACAATGCGTTCCACAGTTGTGGGACGAATCCAAGGCCCTCAGTGCAATTGCCAGTTCCGTACATCAGTTACTGTTAATTCAGGCGTTCCGACCAGATCGGGTTATTGCTGCGGCGCACAATGTTGTGAACACTGTGCTTGGCGTAGACTTCATGCCGAACGCCGAACAGGAGCTGGACTTTACGGCTGTTGTGGAGAAGCAGTTGAACTGCAACACACCAGCTTTGCTGTGCTCCGTACCCGGTTTCGATGCTTCCGGTCGTGTGGATGACTTGGCCGCGGAACAGAATAAGCAAATTTCCAGCATTGCTATTGGATCGGCGGAGGGCTTTAATCAGGCTGAGCGTGTCATCAACATGGCATGTAAGAGCGGTCGCTGGGTGCTCTTGAAGAACGTTCATTTGGCGCCACAGTGGTTAGTTCAGCTCGAGAAGAAGTTGCACTCGCTGCAGCCGCACTCTGGCTTCCGACTTTTCCTCACAATGGAGATCAATCCGAAAGTTCCAGTGAATCTCCTACGAGCTGGCCGCATCTTTGTGTTTGAGCCTCCACCAGGCATACGCGCTAACCTATTGCGAACCTTCTCGACGGTGCCAGCGGCACGAATGATGAAGACACCAAGCGAACGCGCACGTCTATATTTCCTGCTTGCATGGTTCCATGCCATCGTGCAGGAGCGTCTGCGTTATGTTCCCCTGGGTTGGGCCAAAAAGTACGAGTTCAATGAATCCGATTTGCGTGTCGCCTGCGATACTCTAGACACATGGATCGACACCACTGCTATGGGCCGTACAAATTTGCCGCCGGAGAAGGTACCATGGGATGCATTAGTCACCTTGCTGTCCCAGTCGATTTACGGCGGCAAGATCGACAATGATTTTGATCAGCGTCTACTCACCTCGTTCTTGAAGAAACTGTTTACGGCACGAAGCTTTGAAGCAGACTTTGCATTGGTAGCTAATGTAGATGGGGCCTCGGGAGGCTTGCGCCACATTACGATGCCGGATGGCACGCGTCGTGATCACTTTTTGAAGTGGATCGAAAATCTAACCGATCGGCAGACACCATCCTGGCTGGGATTGCCCAACAATGCGGAAAAGGTGCTGCTAACAACACGAGGAACCGACTTGGTCAGCAAGCTACTCAAGATGCAGCAGCTGGAGGATGATGACGAGCTGGCCTACAGCGTAGAGGATCATGCCGAAAGCGCAGCCGCGGTCGTACGCAGCGAAGATGGCCGCCCTTCGTGGATGAAGACATTGCACAACTCGGCCACAGCTTGGCTTGAATTGCTGCCCAAGAATCTGCAAGTGCTTAAGCGTACAGTTGAGAACATTAAGGATCCACTGTATCGCTACTTTGAACGAGAGGTTCTGGCGGGAGCGAAGCTGTTGCAGACGGTCATCTCCGACTTACAGGATGTTGTGCTTATCTGTCAAGGCGAGAAGAAGCAGACTAATCATCACCGTTCCATGCTCTCGGAACTTGTTCGTGGCATTATACCGAAGGGATGGAAGCGCTACACTGTACCCGCCGGCTGCACTGTCATCCAATGGATCACCGACTTCAGCAACCGTGTTCAGCAGTTACAAAAGGTGTCGCAGTTGGTGTCGCAGGCAGGCGCGAAGGAGCTACAGGTAAGCAATACACTGCAATGAAATGATGTTGCTAATCTCACATTTTCTCCCATTAAAGGGATTCCCCGTTTGGCTGGGTGGCCTTCTCAACCCCGAGGCATATATCACCGCCACCCGACAGTGTGTGGCCCAGGCCAATAGCTGGTCTCTGGAAGAACTTGCACTGGAAGTGACCATTACCGATGCAGCGCTAAAGACCGATCAAAAGGACAGCAGTTTTGGGGTATCTGGTTTGAAATTGCAGGGCGCTCAGTGCAAGAACAACGAGCTGTTGCTAGCTTCTACAATTATGATGGATTTGCCGCTGACCATCTTGAAATGGGTGAAGTAAGTAGCCATGTCCCTTCGATCAAGAGAATCAAGGTTTATCTAATGCACGCTTTTGCAGGATCTCAACGGAGACACGACTCAGCAAGCTTACATTGCCAGTATATTTGAACTCGACGCGGACCGAGTTACTCTTCACCGTCGACCTGGCTGTTGCCGCTGGACAGGATTCGCACAGCTTCTACGAACGTGGTGTTGCTGTCTTGACTTCGACCGCTTTGAATTAAATGTTTGGCATAATTGTCCACTTATCCTTATCGTATGAGCCCCTTAGACTTTTGAAACTTTCCTGCTCCCATTATAAATTTAAAAGTGCTTGGCACAATATACTCTACTCTATATCCTACATATTAAATCAATATAACCTGAAAATAAATTCACTTTAAAATCAAACCACAACAACTTAGCAACCCCAGACATAATTTTGTACTTCTTATTGAACACACTGGGAATCTATAGCAACACCTGGCATGTTTACACTGGGCAGAAGGTTTCCTTTATCGAATGTCCAGAATATACGTAACATCTTCACCTGGTTCTCGCGCAAGTTTCCTGTCGAAGCGCCGCAAACCACTCTGGTCTTTGTCGAGGAGGTGCGCCGATTCATACAAGAATGCGTTTGCCGTGTCGGTGTGTCTCAAAAAAAGTCGCGCAGCATAGCCGACTTTCTGTTGGCCGCAGATTATCGCGGTGTAAATGGTTCCGGCCTCAATCGTCTCGAGATGTATCTGAACGACATCCACAAACGCAACGTAAACATCGAAGCCGAGCCTTCAGTGATCAAGGAGACGGCCTCGTTTGCACATGTCAATGGAAACAGTGCCTTAGGCGTCACCGTTGGAAACTTTTGCATTGATTTGGCCGTGGAGAAGGCGCGTAACGCGGGCATTGGCTTGGTGGTCGCCAAGCAGTCCCATCACTTTGGCATGGCTGCTTGGTATGTGTCACGGGCTATGGCCCATGGCTATATCGGGTTAGTTCTGTCTAACGGGCCGCCCCAACTAATGTCCCCAGGCGTGCAAACGTCCAGCTTGGGCGCCAATTGCATTGCATTCGGAGCCAAAGGTCTGCATACGCATTTTCTTCTGGATATTGCCATGAGCGTCAAGGACATTGGAGCTATTGAGTGGGCCTATCTGCTGGGGGAGGGTATACCTGATAGTTGGGCGGCTGACAAGAGGGGACTACCCACGTCCGTGGCTGACGTGGCCATTTGTGCCCAGCGCTTGTTTCCAGCTGGCGAACACAAGGGCTATTGTATGGCCGCCATGATCGACCTGTTGTGTGGAGTCATGTCTGGCGCCGGGTACTCCACACACATACCATCTTCGTGGTCCGACAGCAAGAGCACCAATTCGAATTTGGGTCAAATTTATATTGCCATTGATCCGCAGTTCTTTTTGCCAGACTTCGAGGAGCGTTTGGAGGACTTCAACCAAACCATTAAGTACAGCTGTCCAATCGACGAACTGGATCCAGTAAAGATACCCGGCGACATAGAGAAGCAGCATATGCAATATGTTCGAGATCTGCGTGCGCTGCCATATCCGAACGCCCTGCTTATGAAGTATCAGGTTATAGCGGACTTATTGTGTGTAAAACCCATTCAGGTAGCATTCAACTACCCCGAAAAGACGAAGCATTATTCGGAGTAAACCAATACGTATAACAGTTTTCATTCTGTTCTTATACGAAGTCTGTGAGGGGGTGGGGGTAACAAAAGCGCCATCTATTTCTCGTATTTTTCCTTGCAGGATAATAGTGGGTTCAGTTTATTGAGGACAACAGCGCTCAGTTGGGAAATTTCGGTCCGTTTGAAAATGTTAATAGGTGGCGCGTGGTTCAAATGGCATAGAGCGCGTTATTTCAAAATTTAAAACTAGGTTTAATGCTGATTGTGAGCATTATATTGGAAGTCGAATTGTAATTCACAATATTGATGTGCTATATGTATGTACTACATACATAATTATGCGTCGCTTTGTTCGTTTGTGAATACATATCTATCAGATAAACTTAAAATTAACTTCAACTTCTTGTTTACTCTCGAGTGTGCTGGTGTGTTGAAATATTTGTACTCTATAGCAGATCATTTTTAGATTTACGGATAGACCCATCAGCTATTTAATAGTTGAAGGATTGCTCAACTGGGCTTCGGGAGCCTCTGTATTGATTGTATTGATCATGTTTAGGGATGGCATTAGAAACATTTACCGAAACACCTATTAGAAGAGAGTCAGATGAATTCGTTTCACTTGGATATGTTGCCTACTTTACCTTTTATTATGTGGTCTTCCCCGCAAAGAGACTGGGCGACATCGGCATCGAAAAAGGTGACAAAGCTAAAGGCTCTGAATGGCTGAGGAATATAGATATCACTGACTTCTCCGAATTTGGAGAAGTATTCACGAAGATCATTGGAACTTATATTCTCGGTACAGCGACCAACAAACACCTTATTGGAAGTGTTGTTTCCCTAAAATATTGGAATGTTATCATTAATTATCGTTGAATTGCCGATTTTATATATACCTTTGCATTTGGAACTTTTATTTCACACCAGCGCCCATCAATGAGGTGTCGAGAAGTGGAAAGAACTAGCTTTTGAGTTTCATACGAGGCAAATCGAATAAACCCGAATCCCCTTGAATGTCCGGACCTATAATCCGTCTTTATATTAGCCATAGTCACTTCACCATATTTCTGAAAATATTTCCTCAGGCGATTCTCAGTGGTTTCCCAAGACAGTCCCAAAACAATCAAGTCAATGCAGCGTCCACTTTCGATGCGTTTTGCTTTCACTGCCGTGGATACCAGATCGTCGTCTCTTTTCCGCTTAATTTCTACAGAAGACATGAGAATGATAATTATACTGGGCATAAAATCACTATCCGAATGGGCAATACCTTTGGGAAATACACAGAAATATACATTTTCTCCCCAGGAGGACGCCCCGTTTGGCGGAAACAGTCTATCCTGGTTCGATCGAATACCACGCACAGCCTTCGTATCCATATTCCGGTACTGAAGACCGCAGCTGCCAGAAAATTGTGCCTGGAGTGTCGATAATAACAGTGTACCGTCTTCTTCAGCCGGCAACTCGATTGGATTATCACCCTCTTGCTCGGCCACTTGAACGAAGTCCTCATTGGCTATTGTTATTATTTTGCGACGATCAATATGCCCTATTTCGACCGATTCATCGCTGCTTTCCGCGGCCAAGTTCACGATGTCAACATCCATACTTTTGCCATTTTCGTCCTCTGCAAACTTCATTCCCACATTATCCTTCTTGTCTACCTCAACTGGATCCATATTGCTTTACGATTCTTCAAACACAAGAAATGAAATCAATCAACCTTTTTGAAGTAGCTATGCCATTACAACTCACTCACAAGCAGAACCAGAATCACTCTTAACAGCTGTTCAATAATTTCAAAAATGTCACAAGTTCTCTCTTCAACCTACGATTTTCGACACAGCGCAGATTTCCTCGATTTAATGCAATTAGATTTCAAATGAGTCTGAAGTTGACAAATACACCATGGCTTTCTTGGGTTTGTAAGCGGTACACCTATTTCCTCTCCATTCCTAATTTGATTAGAAAGTCGGCGTTTTTTTGGCGCTAAGAGTCCGCTCTTGTATTTCAACTACAGCATGGTTGAAAAATAAACATAGGAAATACGTGAAAATACAACCCTGCAGTAATAAAATCGAAAAGGGTAAGATATATCGAAACACGATATATACTTGAAATGGGCGTTAGGTGAACAGAGATTCAGTAAATATGTTGCATGTGTTTCTTTTTAGCAGACTTCAAAATAAAGGAGGTTATCAATTCGTCTGTAAAAAAATGTTTAGTTAAGTTTGCTATGTTTGGACTAGGTGAACCGATTTTGATGATTCTTTTGGTATTTGAAAGCAGATCTTTCCCGAATAATCCCATTTTAATGTAGTCCAGTTCTGACAATGGCATTCATGGGACAACCATATGAGTATTAGATATTCGTTAAGTATGTGAACTGTATTAAAAAGTTGATCCCGCTCAACGCTAGCATTCCTTTCTCGCCTTGATTGCGATGCATCGTCGATCCATCCATGTTTGTCCAAACATCGAACATTTTTCATATTTTTTTGGTCTACCGCAGAAGTTACATATATTTGTATTTTATTTTTGTAATGTGATTCTAAAAATGTATATTTTGTTATATTGATTGATTGTTATTCGTTTGCGTTCTTTGCACTATGATCATTATCACACAACTGATCCATCTTTGATTTTTATAGTATTTCTTACAAGTATCGATACAATGTGTTTCTTAAGCTTGTTGCTTACATTGTTGTATTTTCGATTATTAGTTAATTACCTACAATAATCACTTTCTATTCACTATAGTTTCGTTAATTAGCAATGATATGTGAACCCGAACGTAAATAAAAATAATGAAAAATATAAAATATTGGAGCGCAGATAACATCAAATTTCTGTATATTCCATATAATCAACTGAAAATTTAAATATTAGATGTAAAACAAATTTGAAAAAAAATTCAAAAAAACAAAAAAAACGACCTGAACTGAAGACAGCTCAACAAATGATGCGCCGGCTGCTGTTTAACAGCAGCTGTTTTAATCGTGTTTATATAGTATACGACCGATTCGATTATTGATACATACATATTTCGATTGGAAGCTGTAGATGTAGGGATGCTGGGACTAGGGATGTAAGTAGGGATGTAAAAAAACATCGATGTATCGAGCATCGACGATGTTTTTACCACTATACATCGATGTTTTCCGATGTTTTTTTGCTAACGATGCATCGTCGATCCATCGATGTTTGTCCAAATATCGAACATTATTCATGTTTTGTTTGACGGTCACATTTATTTTTATGTTTGTATGTATGTATGTATCATAAATTATTTGATGTTTTCGTTAAAATGTGTATTTTATAATATAAATTTTAGATTGTTAAGTATTTGATCTTCTTTTTTTCGTATGTAATGTCACACTTAATATGCCTAAGAGGTATAGCTGCAACGCGTCGTTGTTTTAAAAACTGTTATAATAAGTTTTTTTAAGTAAGCCATACAAGTTCATCAAAAGTCAATATTACGAGAACTATTGTGATTAACAACATTAAGTAAAATGCTATGACAGTCTCTTTTGATATATAAACACTTTTTATTTCAAGCTTCTCTGCTGATTAGCTCCCTAATAATAGCTATGGAAAATTAATTTTTTAAAACATCGATGCATCGATGTTTTTTTGCGATGCATCGACCATGCATCGATTTTTTATAACGAGACATCGATGTACATCAACATCGATGTCCATCGATGTCTCTTTAAGAAAAACCGATGCATCGCATTAAACATCAATGTTTTAAAAAATTATCCTTTGATCGTGTTGTGACGGGGGAAAAAGTCGACACATGCCCATATCTAGCTTTTTTGCAGATGCTGGCTTTTTAGCGGGCTTTTACCGTTTTAGTGCTAAACGGTTACCTCTAGAGCTGGGGAAACATCGATGTTTACCAACATCGATGTTTCGATTTTTTTGGGGGAAGAACATCGATGTATCGATGCATCGAAATTCCACTAACAAATTTTCAAACAAAAATTAATATACAACATAGGGCACTTCGTTTTGATTTGTCTTATTTATAAAGGTACAAAAGGGTTTAAAACAAACGATATTTTTATAACTTCAAATAATAAACTAAAAACAAGAGAAAGTATAACATAAAAAATTATAGTTAATGACTAATTTCAGATAAAACAACAAAACAATATTTTCATAAATTGAAAGAATACAAGTATAACAAAATGAAAAGCATAACATAAAAAATATAATTCATGACTAATTATTTGAGATCCACTCATTTTTGTTAATGTAAATGAGCATGTCTACATTCTTTGATTTAAGCGAACTCCTTTTTTCGCTAACTATAAGTCCAGCTTTGCTGAACATGCGCTCACTTTCAGTGGACGTTGCAGGAACGCAGAGGTACTTGCATATACATGCCTTAAGGGACTTATCATTATACTCTGTACATGAAATGTACAGAAGTATATTTTGAGATCTGTAAATAAAATGCTTCGTATTTTTTGTCTATAAACGACAAAATAGAGCTTGAGGTCGTTGGTAGTTCTTCAATTGGTGGTATTGCCACATGTTTGATACACTTTACCACATTTAAGGCATTTAGCAGACTTGCCATCCTTAGACTTAAAGAAGAAATTCCACACAGTTGACTTTCCATATTTTGCCCGTTTATTAGGACCACCTTCCTCAAGTTCCTTATCCATTTCAGTTGAGTTTGCATTACATAGAACAACATATTAATATATGTACAAATAATGAAAATACACATACACAAATAAGACTGCAGCTGCAAGATAAAAATTACCTTTGCTATTAGATTCTTTTAAAAACTTCTCCATTTCCAAGCACTGCCAACACCAATATCCATCTATAATATTAGTAATTTGTTCTGTATTATATTAGGGGATTTATTAAAAAAATGCAAATTTTAGCTTTTACTTACCTAGCTTTTCCCGCGATTTTTTTTCAAGTAGTAAAAAACATCGAAAATCGGAAATAAAACATCGATGTTTGGAAAAAATTGCAAAACATCGATGTATCGATTTTACATCGATGTTTCGCACAGCACTAGTTACCTCAGCTAGAAGCGCGACAAATGTATTCTGCAGAATTCTAAGCCTCATTTAGCATTAAGTTTATTCTGTGAATTCAAGCAGGAGAAACATCGATGTTTTAAGGGGAAGAACTTAGATTTTTCTTTTCATCAAACTTATACTTAACGAATTTTCAAAAAGCTTTTATTGACGTTTAAACATTGGGAACTTTATTTTGATTTGTCATATTATTTAAAAAGCTAAGGATTTTCGATGTTACATCGATGTGTTGTCCACCACTGTACTGTACTGAATGTACTTTTGCAATTTACTAATGCAGAAACACGCTTTTAACACTCAAAACATTCATATTTTGAATTGAAAACACATAATATTGTTGATTTACGCATATACACATACATATGTATGTAGGTAGATAGCGCTTGCACGAGAAAAATATTTACATTTAATGTACCCTTCAGTTCGGCTTGTGGCGACTGTCCGTTTTGGCCAACCAGTGTCACCACCAGTCCCTTTAGGAAGGCGGCGCCATACCGGTAGGACAGAATTGCGAAAAACTGTTGCCTCACCTTTCGTTGGCCAAACGAAAGACAGTACAACAGTGGTTAAAAAAACGATTTGATGCTCGTGCGCTTTGTTCTTTCGTCAAGGAACAAAAACAAATATTAGGCAAGTCCCGCTACTTTGTTCGCTCGTCAAATTATACAAATATTCAGCAAGTCTCGTTAATTTTTTTGATTGCTTTTACTCCTGTGACGAAACTTGCTTAGTTTGCGGCAAAGTGTTGCCTTTGACGCGTGTGTTAATTGTTCAGTGGGAAATTTGAATGTGTTTTGAAAATAATAAAAAGGTAAGAGTATTTATTTATATAATGCTAGCTTAAGATTAAAATCTTAAAAGTAAGAGAATTATGTTGGCAATGGCTACTAGGGCCTTCAGCTAACTTTGTATGTACATTTTACAATGTTAAAAAAAAAAGTAGGAATAGATACTTGCATGTATGGGGATTGGGTTTAGATTTTGTGGTAAATGTTTGTGGCTTTTAAATATTTAAATATGAGTTTGGAGTTATGTATTGATGGGTTTGCAATTGAGGTGATGGGATTAATGTTTGGGAAAATAGATAATCTATATGGTAGGAGTGTGGTGTGAGTGAGGATATGTGCAACGTTTATTAGCGCGTTATTGCAGAAAGGGCAGTGTTTAGATAGAGTTTGGTCCATGAAATGTGTGTGTGTTAATGCGGTATGTCCAAGGCGAATTCTATTAAGTTTTATTTGTTCTGTTCTTGATAGGAGGTTTTGCGTATTGTTATTGTACAGGTCAAGGAGAGATAAATTATCGCCGTTGCTTTGCTGATACCAATAGGATGTTTGGTTCAATCGAGACGCTTGCTTTAGAGTAAAATAATTTTTTAGAGCTAGGGTTATGTCGGCGAAATTGTAGTTGGGGGTGTAAATAAGAGGAAGCGCTGTGGCCAGTTTTGCAAAAGAATCTGCTACCCAAATAAGTTTTATTTTAGGGAAGTTGTGTTGTAATATTGATCTGATTGTGGTAGGATAGTAATGGTGGTTGTCGAAGTTGGCTATGGCAGTAAGGGAAGAAAGTGAGTCTGAACATATTGCATGTTTCCCGGGTTTTAATAAACAGATTGCGATTGCTTTTTGGATTGCTATGATTTCGGCTGAAAATACGGAGGAGTAATAGGGTAGAATCCCATAGTGGATTAATTCTGTTTCTGATGAGATTGCATAACCTGTAACATCTTTGGTTTTAGAACCGTCTGTGTATGTGAAATTATAATTAGCGTATGAAGCTTTAAGGGCAATAAAGTGTTGTTGAAATATTACTGGGGGTGTCGAATTTTTATTGAATGCTGTGAGAGATAGGTCTATTGAATCTTTAACTTGATGATGAATTTTGATTTTAATGTTTTTATTGGTGATGGGGGTA